TCTTGTACGTGCTTGACCTTACCCTATTGATTCATTTCGTGTATGGTTAGCGTCATGCTTGTAACTAAGATATGAACTGAACGCACCAGTGTCTCTGTCGGTTATTGTTCTTCCCTCCCCGTCGTCACAGTAGTCTAATAACGGTTAACAAATGTGAAGACAGATTGGTTGAAAAGACATTTTTCATCCCGAAGACAACGGCTCCATAAGGTCTGTTAGCAAAATAGTTTGCTGTTTTGATGTTCGATAGAGGTTTTGTTTGATTTGTAGTGAGACAAATATCCGGATGATATCATGGAGTTAGCCAGATTACGCGGTTGCGGAGTTCACTGAGCATCACTCTCTTGAAAACAAACAGCAATGGTTGAGCTCGTTTCTACCACCTACGGAATTATGATGTTGCAGCAGGTGCATATATGTTAAAGCTATCAAGAGTATCGATTCGAAACAAATAACCAGAACGTATTGTTCAAGTTGTCACGAAGGAAAACGATCTAATAAGTTTGCTGCTGTGCAATCATCTCAGCCTTACTTTCAATGTGAGGTGATTAGCGATGTGGTTGCCGTCTTACTCGAAACCAGTTGTGTGAAACATACTATTTAGGTTCAAAACAACCTTTCGGCTAATTGGGTGGGGAGCACATATTTGTGGTCTTCAAAAAATCCGCTCACTTCTCACATTGTCCGACGGCACGTGATGCAGCGTAGAAAACCTTGAAACGCAGCGTTTCTGCATGTCCTTGTGGGAAAGATTGTTTGGTTTACACTTATGGGAATTTGTCCAAATTCATACTCTGCTTTGCGAAGACGCTCATATGAGAAAACTCCATTCGTAGGAACAGGTTACTTGTGTGATATACCATGTCGGTACATCGCTAAATCTCCGCACTTCCTTAACTGTGCCTTTCGGTTACTGCCTACACACCGTCGATAAACACACTTCACCAACTTGCAGCACCATTGCTGATTTAATTGCGCTAACCATACAGCATCGCTATTTGTACTCAGTCGGTCAGCCCCCGATGAAATCATCTCATCTTGGATGGCAGACGCTTCTGCAAATTTTTTTTCATTTTCCATTGTCATCAGTTCTAGCTACGGCTATTACTTTAACCGCTTGGTTTTGCAACATTCAGAGGAGCCGATCCTGTCATTTCTGTTTCACCTGGGGAGAACGATACTATTTAGCACTATTCAGTCTGCAGGCAACTGCCGTGCAGACACTGTCTGTAGTTCGAACAGTTTCAGCAGGCCACAGCAAAATGGAGTTGACGCAGATGGCTGGCCTCTTTTGTGACCTTGTGCATACGGGCGCGCTGCGCCTACTTCAGTACCTTATGCACGCACTGGCATTTGCCACTGAGTCATTCATCGGTGCTCGGATTCTAGAAGGGCGCGCAGCGGCTTTGCGGACTAGCGTTGAGTGCATGTTAAAGGTACATGATAGGTCGCTTGGTTAACTGCACTTTACAACGACAGACTGAAAGTCCACTCTTCGACCGTGCTCTGCACCGACCTAGCCTTCATTACCCTACTTAAGGGATTCCTCCCAACATACATGGAATAAGCAAGTCGGCTGATTCGCACCCTTGAGGTTCGTTTGTCCTCAACCGTCATCATAAGTGACAGCGCATCGGCGTTCAACAATGACGTTTCACTGCTGTATAAGAATAATTTATTTGGAAATAATAGAAGTGGACGGGGTTAGAGACCCACTACTAGTCTATCACGATCAGCCCGAGATACCTGAAGGCATTCATTCAATATGGATAGAAAAGGGCAAAAACAGCGCCACTGATAGCGACTAGCATCCATACGATGTAGTGTAACCAAGCATGCACATGGGGAACAGACAGACCCCAGCCTGAGAGATGAGTCGCACCGATAGTATCCGGTGTCAGGTCCAAGGCTGGCCATCTGTCACCGATCACGAAACTGAGTCAGAATAGAGGAAGTGGACATTCTTGTCGGACACTAATTTTTGTACAGACCTTCCGGCATACAAAGAACTTATTGTACTGAAAATCTCCCGAGATATTCCCTGTTGAGCTGGCGTGCTAAGAATAACTGACCATTCAACGGAGTCAAATACGTAGGACGATAGGTAGGACGATGTTCATTCACCCTACTGAGTGTGAAAGTGGAGTCAGCGTAGCCAATACGAGGCTGAGATCTAGCTTTCTGCTCTCGCATGATCCATTATACGATGACGAAGTCTAGGCGATTCCTCCGTGATTATCCCACTCATCAATGGTTCCTTGAGAGGGGATATGCAGTCATAAAACTCCGATGCAGTAGGAGGTTTCAGATTCACCGTTCTGGGTTTGAATGTCCAACTGAGTGGTAGCAGGTGACCACGGGAGTCGTTTTTCAAAGTATTTGACCCAGTAGTCCTTCCTTACTAAAGACCGTTGCTCCAGTTTGATGCTTGATAGTCTCGTCTACAAGTGGCTTCCGGATATCACTCGCACGGATCAACCAAAATGCCCGTCGCACAATCTCGGCATTCTTCAACTATTTCATCTCCCTAGCCTTCCCTGTCAATTAGGCTTCACGAATGACGCCGGGCTAAGTTGAATTTGGCGTCCGATAATTCTCCGGGCTGAATTATGTTCAGGACTGGCAGCAGCGTTTCTGCAACAAGCATGACCACTATCCTTTCTGACATCCAGTGCTTGAGTGCAGTTGGCAGTGCCGTGACGCAGATGAAAAGCACGGTGGCACGTGGCGATCTTGATCGAGTGCGGAACTTCGACAGTGGAGCAGCTGGAAAAGTCCAGAAGACGACTCCGATAAATTCATTGAGGTTCGGGATCTGTGAGGCTCTCAGTTACTCAGTCAGCTATTCACCCATTAAGAGGCTGTGAAAAAGAGGAGAGAAGCGAATCCAGAAGACTACATGGTCAGAATCCGTACGGATATTCCCAAGGGAGCGGCATTCAGTACATAGCTGAAGCAATCGTTCATTTTTTGTGTGCACCTATTCGAGTCAAAATCAACCATTCAAATGTGCTAAATCTACCCATTTGTGCATTTAACTATCCGGCGACTACCACTCTATTATTCCGAAGTAACAGGGCGCGATATCGAAAACCTGGTCGGTTTGACCCGGAAGAAGGCAGACAGTGGTCAACTTACAGCTTACAAGATTCCCTCAATGGCGTTAACAGACGAGTCGCACAACAGCGTCTAATAAAGCAAGGACCCCTTGGTCCGGGCTTAAAACGATTCCAATCCCTGTACAACCTTCCGCATCGGTCTTCGAGTCACCAGAGGTGCGAAACCGGAAGCAAAAGGAGGGGTGGGGATTGAGCAGTGAGCTTCTAATACTAAACATTCATCAATTTCAAGCGAGTCCAGTGTGCGTACAAGGGTAGTAAGCTGTCCAGCTTGTTTCAGAGTACAAGCATTAGAGACAACCAGATAAACCGGGTGTCGAGGATTGAAGATGGATTTCGAAATGCCTGAGGTTGTCGCACTGAATGACTCGCAATTACCGGGGCCAAGACCGATGCAAGACGAATGGATTCGTCAGTCCTAAAGAATGGTTCTATAAGAAGTGTATCGTTCATGGGGTTGGGGAGGGTGAATTAAAAGGTCGTGAAGGAGAGAGATGACAGGCTTGACCTGTAGCAAGCATTCGCTAACCCACCCTGCCACCTTGAGCAAAACAACTCGGCTGCGACAACTGAAAGGGCGTTTTTAGTTTTGGGAATCATGCGTAGTCTGTCAAGGCGCCCGGCTCTAGACAGAAGGATGGTTAGGGCTCTCACTTAAACCCTTTGGCTCAAAAGCTTGACCGGAAAGCAGCGATGTTGGGCGGTAAAGGTCAGTGAACTGCATTAAAAAAGACAACCTGCCGCATATATTTCAACTTGCAAACTAGAGAGTTTGCTGGCCAGATCTGTGATCATTGGCCACTTGGTATGAGACACTGGGAGTGCCGGGCGGAGATTCTACAGTATAGCTCAATGAGTCTCGATGGAACACAAGCCGTCACACCACGGTATGGCCAAGCCTCATCTTGAACACTCAGGATGCAGACGTGGACACAGTAGCCTCACCGTGTGAGGTGATTGTGGCGGCCGGAGTAGCGATGGTAAATTGCCACCTCAATGCAAGCCCGAGATCAGGAACACACTGGAATCAGCTGGAATCGTTGTAATGTGGCCAAATAGGATGGGACAGTTATGAAACTAATATGGACAGTAATGAGTTAAACTGGGAAGTGGATGTGAAAACCAGTATTCGGTTATGCAGTAGCTACTTGGATTGAAGACTATATTCAGCATTGCAGGATGTCGTACCTCGGTTATAAAATACATAGGTCAAGTGACTATGAAGCCCAAAGTGGTTTACTTGCATGATTTGGAATAGCACTGAAGGTAACTCAGTCTATAACACAACAGACAGAAGCTCACGAAATCTGAATAGTGTCGATGCTATCCATCTGCTAAGCTAGGTGCCATATATATCACCTTGTATGTGGTTTGGGGTCGCTGCAGCATCCAACTGCAAATAAATAATAATTGTCCAGCTGTAACACCTTTTCGGCACCCAGCCGCCTCGCCAACAAAAGGGAGTTGGAGAGCTGTGATAATGCCAGGTTGCCCAAGCCTTGAGAGGAACAATGGAGAGGGCGTGGTTTGGTTCGAAACGCGGACATTCCGGCCAGCAGGTTTGAACTTTAACCGCTCAGCTATCTGGTGATCAGAGCATCAAAGGTGTTATTTACATGTTTACAGGGTTAGCTGGGGAAAAAGGAATCTTAAAGTACGGACTTTCTGAACAAAGGACGATGAGGAAATGTGGTTGGTGGTAGTCCATCAGAACGGTAAATACCGACAGACTTAAGTGTATCATGAAACCGGAGGCGTTGGGAAAGTTTCAAACCAGCCCAAACCCAACTTATTAGGGCAGTCGGCGCCCACAAGTGATTTTCTACCTTATTCCTCATCCCGTACATCACTTAGGCGAAACCCTAAACAAAACATGGCCCATATCAAGTGAAATTGTTCGGCATGCTCAATGAACGCAGAACAAAGGTACAGAACAGAGTTACAAGGAAACATTCCTTCCAATTTGTCTACATGTTTTGAGCAGTACACCGAAGACAAAGGGAGTAGAATTACAGGGAGAAACAATAATTTGTTTTGTAAATGAACAAAGTGCATAAAATACCATCGGAGAATCTAATCAGGAGAGGGCATCACGTTGTAAATCTCATAAGCAGACTTTTCCAGCGACTCCCTGAAAAGAGATCAATGAGATGGTTAAGCAGGAATCAAGATATTCAGTGTGAGTGGATGATAAGTAGGCTATTTTGGCAAGGCAATCATTAGAAGGTGCACTCAAAACATTGTCGGTTGTGAGTTAGATCATTCCAAGGAGGATACACATCTAGAAATTGACAAAATATTTGCAAACTGCAGTCCAAATGATGTTTGCCATGATTACAAAAGATTCTCCGCTTCTCAGCTATGTCATCGCAACTGTGTAACCATCAGCAACAGAGAGACTTGTACCAGATAGCAAGCAAAAGTCTGAGAAGTCACCGCCTTTTCCTTGGGAATACATCTGGATTTAGGAGTGTTTGATCGACTAGATTGTCTGAATGAGTATCCGGAGGGGGCAGAGCTTGTAAGAGACGGGCACCAAGTTCTCCCCTTCCATTCTTTCACTCTTTTCTTTATAGAAAAGCCTTCAAAGAGTAATGCTGGTGAGGTGGAGAAGCGTCGGTGGTGGTGATATGTAAAACACTGAGCATATACAGTAGTCTCCCGCTAGTTTACGAATCGTACTTCACAGGTTTTTATTTGGAACATCTGTGTATTTGGAGGATTTAATCGATATGTTGTGACATTCACAAAACTTATAACGAATTCTTTCTAGGAATTTTTGTGCGAAAATAAGGTAACAGATTATCAAAAATAAAATTTATTAATTGGAATATGAAAAGCACTGTTATGAAATAAATTGCAGTGCCACCCATATAACGGCTAAACAAACGGCAAAGAACACAGCGATGTCTACGAGAATGTGGTGAGGTAATGCTGAAAAAGACACCCAGAGGAACGAGTCCGATTTACCGAAATGCCATATTCAGTTAGCCTTGGTTGTGATTGGCTGCTGGCCAAGGTAGATGCAGCTAGGAAGAAGTAAACGGCACTCGTCAATACCCTAGTCATATGCCTGACCGTGTAACTCCATTTTCACCACAACATCAAGGTCGCTTGAGGGCTTGGACTTTCAAGGGATCTCTTCCGGATAGGCCCCACCACTAGCGCAAAAAGTGCATGTGCGAAAAGTTAAGCCCCACCACTTTCTGCCAGCCCCAGTTTGATGTACACACACAACATTGACCTATTTTTGGTGAAAACAGTTCCTTAGCCGCATCATTTTGTGCAAGGAATTTCTCCGTCCGGACTTAAAACCCTAAATAACTCTCTGACGCTTTCAACTCTCGTTCACGGAGTGATCCATCAGCAACGTTCATGTAACAATGGCCATCAAATGACACTTTCAACTGTTCCTAGCAGTGAAGGTGTAATTCCCGACAGTGTTGGTAAGAAATCGGTCTTCGAAAGGGAACCTGGCTGGAACGACCTAGGATAGAGTTTAGGACGGCAATTATATTCACTTATTGCTGGTCCAAAAATTTGGCGAAAATCAAATTCCGCTCAGAAGAATTATCTATTAGCCACACGACTGCTGTTGACTGGAAGAGTCTGCATTTGCAGACTCTAACAGTTATCGGCGGCGCAGGTCGAGATCGATGAAACGCTAATGTCTAGCCCTAAAAACCACGCAGGGTGAGTCTTCCCAAGAAGTGGATTTCCGGAGGCATCGGCCAGGAAACTAAACAGATGTTCATGTACGCAGTACCAGATCGAACTGCGGCCAGTTGGATGGACACAATCCAAGCCTGCATCTCTCCCGGCTCAACCATGATCTCTGATGTGTGGGCATCATACCAAGGAATCGAAACGATGATTGACATGAATTATACTCATGAAACGGTTAATCATACAGAAAACTTTGTGGATCCAACGAATCAAATCATCGAATCTCTTTGGCACGTCTACAAGATGCAGAATAAACACCAATGCGGCGCACAACGCAGCTACTTGTGTGGGTTCGTCTGTAGGTAAAGGTACCGAAAAACGGATCTTTTCATGCAAATTAATAATAACATGTCCCAATTTCCCCCTCTTCACTGCAAAATTACAAGTTTCATATCTTCTTTTTTCTAATCTTTTTTGGGTGGCGGGGGTTAATTTTTTGGGGGGGCTTATCTGGAAAAGATCCCTTTCAAGGATTCTAAGCTTGAAAGGAAAGTCTTGACGGTTCCGTAGAAGGCTATATATGTAATAAGGGTAATCCTGTTTTTACCCTGAAGCAAATGGGTTGTGAATATGGAATACCTCACTTTTCCTAATCCTGGGTAGATGCGGCCTAATATCTCAGAAATGAAAATTTCTAGTGCTAACCGAGTTGTTTGAAATGATGTTCTGCTTGCTCACCTGTGATCGGGGTGTGCAATCTGAATCAGTGCATATGCGCGTTGTCGAATATTGCGGCCAAACAGATAGGCAATACCAAATTCGGTCACCACGTAGTGACAGTGGGCACGGGTTGTTACCACGCCACCACCAAGTTTCAGGTGAGGAACAATCTTTGTCTCCCCACGTTTCGTAGTCGACGGTAAAGCGATAATCGGCTTGCCCTGGCCATCGGCACTGAGCGCTGCGCCTCGAAGAAAGTCGACCTGACCACCAAAACCTGTAAAAGATGCAACGAAAGTGTAATTACTGGAGGGCGACCGAAAGCGAACAAACCGCGTTACAATGGTGCAGGTCAACCAGAATAGCAGAAATTCCCTTCTCCGAAAAGCAACTATAAGCTATCTGACACCAGAAGTGCATTCGTCACCGCATCTGTAATGGCAAGGGAAATATTTCTTGAACCAAAAAGCAAATTCCTATTGGGGCACAAATGACGAACTCAGGTTAGTTTGTTCATCCATAACCTATAAATGATGGAAATAGACAGTACACTCTAGGAGAAGATAAGGAAAACCGTGTAGATTTTTTGTTTCTTCAGCAAACGAAAGCAAATCTACACAATACTCTGTCCCATGGTGGTCATCCTTTCGACGTAACTTACGTATAAACTTACAAATGGGATTCCGCCAGGATGGTAAATACTTCTTCCAAGTTGTAAGGCAAAATCAGCCATTTTGAAACGGAAATATTCTTACCGATATCGCAGATTCTGTGATGCCCTACTTCAACTGTCTTCTACGGTGGAGACATTTCTTTAAGTACCGCCCTTACTCACTGCTTCGCGCATGCGTCCGACTTTGTTACTGCGGGTAAAATCATCGACGTTGTCCTGTTGATATGGAAACCCTTTGCCAATTACTATGAGCAAATGCACACGTTGCGGTGTTGTACACTTTCAGCCGTTGGGATGGGCGAAAAATTATATACTATATATACTATATATATTGGGCAAGATGGCCCAGTGGTTAGAGCACGAATTCACTGACGGGAAGTTTCGTGGCTCGAACCCGACCTCTGCCACTCGACTTCCCCTGTCTAGGCTTGGGCAACCTGGCAGTATCCCAGTCCTCGTGCTTCCTTTGTGTGGCATGACAACTAGGCACCGGAAGGGTGCTGGAGCCGAACGATTATCTTTTATTATCTTACAGACCAAATGGTGTATTATAAGGGTCTACACTAATGATTTGCATTTTTTCAGTAGTGTTGTTTGTAAAATGGATGCCCTTAAAATTTCATTGTGAACTTTACCTACAGAAATTCATAATCACCAGGCAAAACTAGTTCGTAAAGTAAAAACCTAGTTTGTACTACGGAAAGCTGTAAATATGATCTAGATTGAGAAAAAGGTGGCCCAAAGCAAATGGTTTAGTTGACAGCCATTCAGCTGATGAACTTGGCGATGACTGACCATTGATTACTCCCAACTATAGGAAAAATGAGAAAATGACGGAACGGTAAATTAATCTAACCATCTGGCAAGTGATTAGCGTCAATGAAATGCTTCCTTAAGTCTATTCTTGATAGAAGAAACAGTAAGTGGGTTTGCAGCCTTGAAATTTTATAGAAATTGGAGGTACATGATGCACTATTAGGCATTTTCGCAAATATACTCAAAAATAATGTTCATTTGTATATACACGTAACATGCTACTCACAAGGTTGCTGAGAACTCTTCAACGGTCCACGAGCGCTTTCGCCCTTCTTGTAGAACATGACTTTGGCGGGAACTCAGAGACTGCGCCCACCAGATGATACCCAAGAAAGGCAAAACCGGTCGTGGTCTGTCGAAATTTTTTTCAGCAACATTATAAGTGGCGTATTACGTATCGCGATATCTCGAATACCGTACCAACTGAAACATGAGGCCTGGTACAGCACATTAAGTTGAAGAACACCAAAAACGGGAAGCCAAACTTGTATGAAAATGAGTGCATTTGTTGAATGTTCATCCTTGCTTGAATTTTTACCTCTTGATTGCTAGGTTACCTATAAAGCGAATTTGCTAGTGAACAATGAATCTGCGTATCTGTGGACGCTAGGATGTATTTTGCCATTAAGAAAGGCACAACACATAAATGACAGGTAGAATGAAAATGTTTTGCAAAACTCTCTATCGTCACTAGTTAATACTTCCACACAAAGTCACAGCAGAACTAGTGTCCACCAACCTTTGGATAGGCATCCTCTCCTAACAACTTGATTTAGGTGGATTCGGTGAGTGTTTCAATCGCTGTTTCCTTCCGTATATCCCACCAACATTGGTACGACCACGGGTGTTCCACGTTTGTCAGGGTGTGTGGCATAATTAGCTTCCAGAGTCTTCTGGCAAGTGGTGCTCGTACCTGCTCGCTGAGACGCATAACTGAGCAGTTCGTATCGACCTTGCTTGCCAATTAACAGTAACACCCCAGAGAAACAAGGGATTGGTTTGGTGCAAAAAACACTCGTCACCATTAAGTCTTAACGATCCGACATTTCCATATTACATGTGTAGGCACAGCCTAAGGTTGTTGCGCTACCAGGGAACAGTTGGTGCGACCAGAAAAGGGACGAACGGTGGGTACAGACCAGAGTCATGGGGGGTACACCTAAACACGCGATGAGTTGAGTGAAAACAACAACAAAATGAGTGAAAACGGTGGGGTCAGCGAGTAGAAGAGAGGAGTCGACAAGAAATGCCAGAGTTCAAAAATTTTTCAACCCGCGCTGATAAACCGTCCGTGAAAATTTTATTAGCTGTTTCTGTTCTATAGACGCTCATTAGGACCAGTAGTCCTAGCCCAAGCCACAATTCCCGTGTCAGTCCACGTAACCCTTAGCTCTCCATATACGAGACAGACTCGAAAACACTCCTTCCACCTGGAAAGAGTCGGTCTCAAGAGAGGCTTTTCATGTGCTCGTTGGCTCCTGGTGATAGGTACGTGTTCCAGACATACCAACTTGTTGACAAGTCCAGACGTTCATCTAACATGCATCTGAAATGCATATATTGACTGGGCTCCCACCCCTGCATGAATAGGCGCGACTAAATACAAACTGGCACTAATTACGTCATTCAATTCGCCTGGTTATTCGTCCTCAAGCCTGTATACATGTCAGCTGTCTCGTTTAACGGTTCTGATTCGCCTCCTCACCCCCTGAGGTTCGGATGAAATCATCGGGATTTATGGTTTCCGGGCTGTATCATTCGGCCGACATCAATTTTCGTACGATCTATTCCCAAAAGACTTGAAGACCTACGGCATTCATCCAAGGGTCACCACCGGCTCAGTTGATTTGAAAACATATTTTGAAGTGGATAAGCTATGCAAACGAGTTCAGTTTCAGTTTTCTGGCTACAAACCATGTGCAGAAGTATAGTAGTTCCAGCTCCTACGGATTCCTACAGCAAGAATAAGGAGAATAAAGGGGTCACAGTCATTCATTGGAGACGATGACCCAGACGGTTCACTGACGTCACATGGCTCTTTATCCGAAATGGAAGGGATTTGGAGAGCGACGTACTGAGGGGAAGACTTCGATGAAGGATCACCCCTGGCTGCGTGATACGGATACGTTTGTCAGGATCAATAAACACTGGTTTCTTTCAACCCGAAGTCCCAGTCCGGGGAGGCGGTGACTACCAAAGAGACTGAGTTGACTGTCAAAAGATTTTATCGTTTGTTAACAAGTCATGCAATGAACACTTCTGAGTCGTCCCCACTCGACGCATGGCTGGGCGAAGAGGACTCCGTGAGGAAAACGGCCCTCTGGTATACCAATATATGACCAAACCAACTCAGAATTTAGTAACTTGAACGATTGTGAATAGGGCATTAGCAGAGGACTACATTGTTTAACAGCATCAACGTTTATTCGCGTTGCCTTTCTTAGTTCTGACTGAGACTCAACAGACCAATCGATCTATGCTTTCGGCAATGCGGGCGTTGGAGTATTGGGGACTTCAAGTTACCTATCCAGCTAATGACGGTTGTGTGGTCCTCTTGAGGCTTGATCGGTTGGTTTACCATCGAAACGAACATGTTATTATTAGAATAAGATACCTAACAGATGGTGATCAATCGACTGGCTATGCAGGTAGTGAAACGAATGGAATCACTTTTGACGCGATGCAAAGTCCTGGTGTGTGATGCAAACGGACGGTGAGGACAGTTGCGGCTAGCTCCAAAAACGACATAACGAGCCCTTTTAGTGGAACCACTTGACATTTAGCTAAAAATAGGGATTGAGGATCTCCCTATCTTTTGTTCAATCCAGCGAATCAGCTAATGCGTCGCATCCCACTTCGATGGTGTTACAAAAGTCGTAAAGATCGGGGTCCTTTTAGATTCCTTTGTCATCAGCCTGAAGCCTCCTTTACGTCACAATTTCCTTCCACTTAGTAATGTGAGCAACCCAAGAGTACGGTTCATTCGGCTGATAGTGGTCCATCCAGATGAAGAGCATCACAGCAAAACTTCTGCAGAAGTACTTTAATGGGCAATGTCACCAAGGACGAAAACCCCAAAGAAAAGTTAAACAAAGTTATTGAAGACGGCGTGCCATATCTTGTGTAATGGATGTGTGGGAACGACAAGTTGGAGTAAGATCGATCATTGTCCGCACTCCAGCAAGAGTACCACCTTATGTGTCTTCACTCAATTCTGAAGTGGTAGTGATCGAAACTCCAATGTTACTGGAATACACCTTACATAACCTGGGTCCATTTCGTGACAGTTGGCTTAATTTTCGACTCGAAGGTTCTGGCTTCTTAAGCAGTTCCAGATGTCGCAAAACGTCCATCTAAAAGTGTGTACAGACTGCTCTCTTTACGGCTGTTCGATATAGATGGCCGAGATCTTCGGCCGCTGGCATAGAAAAGTACAAGTGGTATTACACGGATGCTCTGCGGGGTTCTGGTTGAAGTTGTTATTAATTAATGGGCGAAATCGCTGAGATGTCATGTTTGGTTATGTGAATCTGCAAGAACACTTCAATCACTGAAGCCATGACCACGATAATCTGCGAAAACAAACCAGCATATGCATAAACCTGACGTAGTATTTCCCGACGTGAAGCTGTCACCTTGTCGTGGATATATCACTTTGAGTAGCGGTCCAAATCTCCAGATGTTTGGTACTTCGGGACAGTTTGTTAATCCGTCCGAAATCGCCTACCATTGGAAAAGCAATCCGTTGGACAAGCCATTTATTTAAAAACCACAATTACTGTTTTAAA